CCCGGTGCCGCCGCAAAGCCAGCCCCGCGGCCGCCAAGCGAGCCCGGCTCTGCGCGACAGTGCATGCGCGCGCACGTGGGGCGGTGGCGGCGGCGCGCTTTACGGCGGCAACGTGAATGCGTGACGCTTGCCCCGGGCCTCAGTTCGCACGTGGTGCTAGTGGAGGAAGGTTAACGCAGCTGCTGGCGTTGTCGTTCCAGCCGCCAGTATGAAGCGGCCGAGTGAGTGGAGGCGGAGGGCGGGCGGGCGGACTTGGAGTAATCCCTGTCTCTGGTGGTCGCTGAATTCCCCAGGGCGCTCTTCTTCAGCGGCTTGGTCTGCGGTGGGGTGCGGGTAGGCCGTCCCCGGTCCTGCGTAGAACCGAGGGTGGGAAGGCCTCACGTTGATATTGCCGATCCGTGGGCTCATCGTGCGGAAGGAAGACTGGCGCCGAGAGTGAAAGTCTCGTGAGGCAACAGCGTCTGAGCTAAATTTCAGGTCCAGTCTTTTTCTTTCCGCGACCACGTGCAAACTGGCCTGTAGGAGAGCTGAAGGCCGTCTCCCAAATCCACCGTTGCCGCTCCTGCCGTGTGATTGGTGGTGTTTGACACAAAATGGCTATTTTGAGTCTCGTGCTCCGGTGTGTGATCGTAGTATAATTTGGGAAGACAATAACGGGGAAGTTCGGTCCCATTTCATATCTATTGTATCAAATTATCTGGGATTTGAGAGAGTGATATATGTGTTTTTATCAAGCACCCCACATGATTCTTCGCACAAAAAGAGTTAGCCCCATAATGCAGTTACCAAAAAAACTATGCAGACAAATCATTGGTGTTTAACCCTTTTGTGATGTTTCTTTGTAGAGTTAAAGAAAGCAAGTAAACGCATGACCTGCCACAAGCGGTATAAGATCCAAAAAAAGGTGAGTGTTATGCGTGGGAGAGCGATACCAAATATACTGTTAAAACTGATTTCCACCTGATCTCTCACCTATGCGGGAATTCTGGGTTAACATGACTGAGTCTCAGGAAATGGGAGTTGGAGAGAATAAACTCTTAGGCACCAGGAGTACAGCTGTGGAAAAGTGCAGTTATTTCGTGATAAGAAAGTCTGTAAACTTTAATTTACATTTCAATAATCTCTGTAAAGAGGTAGAGAAATAGAGCCTAGCGGTGGCTTTTTGTTTTTCAGTGCCCCACGTTATACATATTCATGCTCTAAGGATCGATCGCTGGGTGTGCAGTGGTTAAACACAAAAGCTCCACGGCTTAAGCCCACCAGCACCTTCTCAGCAGAAAGATGTGGCAGTCTACTTCTGTAAACAGCCTTGGAAACCCTATAGGCAGTTGTATTCTGTCCGGTAGAGTCCCCATGAGTCGGAATTGACTTGACGCAGTACGTTTATATATGCTTTGTATGATTCAAATTAAAGCTTCATTTTTCTACGTCATTATACACGTGTCACTAAACTGTAGCTAAATTGGTTTCTCACATGAATTGAGAAGGAAGGTATTTTTGTAAAGTCAAGTAATGTTTTCATCACAATAGGTACGAGAGCACCATCGAAAATTGAGGAAAGAAGCCAAAAAACGAGGTCGCAAGAAGCCTAGGAAAGATCCAGGAGTTCCAAACAGTGCTCCCTTTAAGGAGGCTCTTCTTCGGGAAGCCGAGCTAAGAAAACAGCGGGTAAGATGTTTGCTGAAGCTTTGAATAAATGAGTGTGGATACGTGTACTTATTTCCAAGTAAGGTAATACCAGCACCAGGTCACTTTGGCTCACTCATTTCTCTTATGAATTGGGCACAGCTTGAAGAACTAAAACAGCAGCAGAAGCTTGACAGACAGAAGGAACAGGAAAAGAAAAGAAAACTTGAAACTAACCCTGGTGTTGAGCCATCCAGTGGGGAAGCTGTGAAGGAGGTA